CATGACTGTTTCACGCAAAGGGGTTGACGCGATGGTATAGCCTGGAGTTACTGAGGTGTCTGAGACAGCTCTTGGGAGGGAAAAAAGTGATACCCTTATTGCGTGAGTCTGCCTTCCGGGATCAAGTCTGCATAGCTTCATATCTCGATCGAACGGGCTCTGTTCACAAATTGCCGCAAGTTTATTCCACAAGGGCGGAAAGATGAATATCCTACAAATGCGTCAGATATCTTTGAGGATTTCTTTGTTTGGATGCGCCATACCGCGTGCCTGTCAGTGTGCTTGAATATAGGTATTGGAGGTCTTCTTTCCCGACTTGCCGCGCTAGAAGCCCCGTTCATGCTGTTTCTGCTGTGAATCTATATCTCTTTGTCTCCGTTTTCATCTTCTTGTGGTCCCTTCCGCCTCTAACCTCACCTCTCCGGCCTACTCCCCCTTTCTCTCCTCTTCTCAGCCTCGTCCACTTGGCATTGACGGCCATGAAGCTATCTGGTCCCTGTCTCTAACCTCCCAGAGCAGACGACTCACCTATTTACCTGCTTGCTGCTGTTCCTAGTCATTCATCTTAGAGGCCCCAAAGAACTTTGCCTGGATACTCTCGTTCTCGAACTGTGTATAACCACAGCATTCTGTATTTTCCCTTTGCTTGACTTCTTCTAGCTTGCATGCTTGCAGTTTTCTATGGGTACAAGTTTGCTCTTATGTTTTACTGGGGAAGCATATACACGTATGGGTATTACTTTGTGTTTTCAAATGTTGCTGTGGGACTTCCTTCCCATTCAAGCTCCCCTTTGCCCCCCGTAGCTGTGGCGTAGTCGACACAGTTAGGACCTTCTTATGGAGCAGTAAGTAGTTAAGTATAGTAAGTACTAGTAGTCAGGTCCTGCACGCAGCAATTCCCCCGGCTCCACTGGAGCTCTGGCTGGCTGTGAAGGCAGGAGAAAGAACATGGTTAGATAATCAGCGGGACGGAGGATCCCGAGTCCCGACCAGCAGCTGAGCACTATTGGTGATGTTTTGTTCCTTAGACACATGCCCTTCCTATCGCGACGGCAATACCGCTAAAGAGCTCCTCACTGCCGCTGTCCTTAGAAGCCGTGCTGGCTACAGCTTGAATTGGCTCCCAATATCATCTAGAGACAGTCGTTGCGCAAGACTGCTCGTGTGGACGTAAGGCCCGCTAGCGATGGCCGACTACGAACGCCGGCCTCATGGCCCCAGGGGTGGTGGGCGCAAGAGGCGCTACAGAGGTCAGTAAAATACGCAATCCTGCTGTGATCGAGTCCTTGGCTTCAATTGCTTGTTTGCCAATGGCCACCATGCCCCCCAGACTCTGGTTATGGCTTATAGATGAAGCTCCCTCGTGGCCACTTACCATTAACAATTTCTTGGAATACTGCAGAAGATGATGACTATGACCGCCGCCAGAGGCGTCGTTATGAGGAGCCGCTTGTTGTCAAGGTCCGGAGGCAACTGCTTACGATCGCTGAATCTGTACGAATACCCTTTTTCAATGGCCCGAATATGTGAGACAAGTGCTGTAGCTCACTGCGAACGTTCTTTAGGCTGCCAGACGAGCAGAAGACGACGCTGTAAGCATCGCAAGAAGTGTAACAGACAACTACGAAGATCAGGAGTTCAGGAACTCGTTTGTCGATATTGCGCTTGACCTGTATGGCTTGACTGACTTGGCTGTCCCCCTTTTGGCCTGTTCGAAATCCCGCATAGCTTGGAGCTAATAGTGTTCCTATTATACTAGTGTTTTGGAGCAGCCGCTAAAGATCCCTTTTATCGCCGCGACCGTCCTCATTGCAAACTTCCAGAAATCCGAGCTCGTGTCCGACGTTCTCAACAAGTCAGGCGTGTGCTTGCAGAAGTACATTGACGCTGGCGCGTGGCGCGAGGTCAAGCTTCTTCTGCGGTTCCTGGGTTGTCTCCAATGTGTCTTCGAAGGGGATGGCATCTTCCCGATACTGGAGGAGCTCTTTGCGCGTGCTGTCGACCTTCAAACAGCATCCTCGGAAGATGTAAGCGACGCCGGTATCCCGACAGTTCTCAAGGATCGCAGGTTTGCTAACTATGCGCATACAGTTGATCGGTCTGGAGCTGGTGAAAATTATTCTCTTCACCATTCCGTACGTTATGGCCTCTCCAGCAGCCGGTTTCGAGTCCCAAGCCACCGCACTTCTGGAGAAGACAGACATCATCGCTTCCACCCCACATACTCTTGTGGACCTGGTTAATCCATTCGGCCTGGAGAATGGGAAGTCAATTGCCACGCCAAGTGTCATTAGCCTACTCCAGAATCAGTTACAAAAAGAGTCCGGCCGGGGTTGGGAGCTCGCGTGTCTTCCTAGGCCATGGAGAGGAGCATTAGAGGCACTAAATGCACAAGAGCCCGAGGAAGCACAAGAGGGGCAAGAGACACAGGACAATGGCGCAGAGCCGAAGGCTTATGAAAACGGCCCAAAGCATGCATTCCCCCAGATCACTGTTCCGAGTCCGGTGAAGAATGGAACAAGAGCAATCTTTCCGGAGGTGTACCTTTCCGTGTACGCAAATCAAGACATGGAAACAGTCCCTCCTACTTCAGATATCGCATCTTCCTTGCTGCGTGATGCCCTCGTCGATACCATCAACATTCTTGATTTCAACCGCATTGCGACGGCGAAGTTTTTGATTGATGTCGACTGCTATTTCACGCCACACACCTTCGTGAAGCGAGCGACTCCTTTCGATAGGCTGCGTGATTTACCAGGAGACATCAATCTCTGGAAACCAGAGGATGTTGCTGTGGACGCCGTGTTCTCCCAACTGTTCCAGCTGCCGTCTCCCGAGCACAAACTGGTCTACTACCACTCAGTTCTCACGGAGTGCTGTAAGATCGCCCCGGCCGCGATCGCACCCAGTTTAGGACGTGCCATTCGCTTCTTGTATCGCAGCCTGGAGACAATAGATTTGGACCTAAGCCATCGTTTCTTGGATTGGTTCTCTCATCACTTGAGCAACTTTGGGTTCACTTGGAAATGGAGTGAATGGTAAGGCATATGCACATACAGGACGCAGTACAGATCAGCTGACCACGCATTAGGATTGATGACTTGGAGCTGCCTCTGGTTCACCCTAGGATGGCTTTTATCAATGGTGCCCTCGACAAGGAGATCCGGCTGAGCTTTGCACAGCGTATTAGGGGCACTCTCCCTGACCCATACCAAGACTTGATTACGGAAGGGAAAGAGAAAGACACACCTGATTTCAAGTACTCGTCTGATAGTAAGTTTTTCTACCCTTCGCCTCACGTCCACTCTTTCCTGTTACTACTTCAACAACTCGACTTTGGCTCGGATTCAAGACAATTGGCTAATGTGTTTGTCCAGCTACTCCGTATGCCAACGAAGGCAGAGAAATTATGCAGCTGGTCCGCAAGAAGGCTAGCGATGAGGAGATCCAGCCACTTATAAACGCAATTGAAGAGCAAGCCAGATCTCTCGGTGTCGAAGACCCGCTGCTGCCTTCAACGGACGCCTTTGTTACGGCTATCTGCTTTGTTGGCTCCAAGTCTCTGTCTCATGTACTGTCCTGCATTGAGCGGAACAAGGAACGACTCCTGGCCATCGGGCCCCAATCTGCACAGGCGAGGCGTCAGATCATAACCTCCGTCATGGAGTATTGGGTTGATCAGCCTGGCGTCGGAATCAACATCATTGACAAGCTTCTCAACTACACCATTCTGACCCCGCTGTCAGTCATTGAATGGGCACTGGTAGACAAGCTAGAGGCAGGAACCGTCCTTGCCAAATCTCACGTTTTCGAGATGATCTCCGCCACAGTCGGAAAGGTCACCAACCGCCTGCGCCAGATTGTTGCCGCACGTACTCAGCCAGGTCTCTACGAGCCGCAGCTCAGCGTCCTCGATGAGACGCTCAGTCGTGAGAGGGTTGATATGCAATCTCTTTTCAGGGTCATCGAAGACTCCATCGTCTCAGTGGCCGGCGGAAGCAACGACGAGCAGATGGAAAGAGGAGATGGAAGTGGAAACTTGCCAGAGGATGAAATCATCCGGCAATGGGGCCAGCGCTGGCTCAGAGTGTTCCGCAGGAAAGCCGGCGTCGAGGAATCGTTCATTGCGGATGCCATGGCCACAGCTACTCCTGTCGGCACAGTCGCTCCGCCTCCGGCTCCGGAAGAGACCGCCGCTTCTGAAAGTATCCCGGCAGATGGGGAAATGGATATTGCTGAAGCCGATGCGAGCGTGGACATCGAATGAGCGGGGGAGGAATTTGATTGGCTTTAATCGGCTCAGATGTGCTAGGGACGGGAGATGTTCAATTTTCAGTTCCAGGATTTCTAATATTTATTCTCTTCCCCCTTCTGTATACATACATAAGTTAGGTTGTGGCACTTGTTTTTATCTCGACCAATTTCAGCGGGTGAGGGCGTTCAAACTAAAAAGCAAAAAGACTCTGATAAAACCACTAAAGAGAAGAAGAGAAAAGAAAAGAAAGGAACTGTTTTATTCCATTGAATCTTCTCGTTATGTTCTGCTAACACGAGTTTTTTGGGATTTTCCTGCTGCCTTTCCATTAGGTGTTGTATCTACACCTCTCTATATTTAGCGTAGTGCAGGAAATGATTAGAATGTGAGTATCGAAACCTCCGCTCCCCTTTCCGTCGATTGATCATATGTACAAAGCAAAAGGACAAGAAAAAAACAAACCAAACAGACAACTGGCCGGTACAATTCCGGTATTCCTTCAGAAGCAGGGGCATAACCAGTGACTCAGGGTTGAATTAAAATACACGTCTATAAAGGTGGCTGGAACAATTAATATACTAGAATCCGTGTTATACAAGACGTAGTCAGGGCGGCGTAGCGTGAGAAGGTCGAAAATTAGGGAGAAGCCATGAACTCGTTATATGAAGTCTGGGCCCGGTAACAGAGACAATCTCGTATAACCTGCGTGAAAAGGTCCCTTTTTGAGTGGTCATGATTGTCGTCTTCACAGGTTCTTCTTGGTCTGTGAATCGGCCAGGTACGCCCGGTCATCATCGCCTTCGACATCCTTGAGAATGGTTTCCATCTCCTTGGTCTGTCGCTTCCATTCCTCCTCGCCATTCTTTGTGTCACGGCGGAAGAGCTCCTCGTTGGGCTTGCGATAACTGCCTCCCAGACGATCCCAGAGGGTTGTGAACTGGCCATAGTTATAGTTGAAGTACAGGTGGTGCATGGTGTGGCAGGCTGCTCCATTGATCACCGGGCTGTTGGCAACGTATTCGCCGTCGTGAATCAGCACGGTCCAGAGGTTGATGAATCCGAAGAGGAAGACGTAGGCCAGCTTCTGGAGCGGGAAGATGAACGGGAACACGTGGTAAGGGACACTCTGCGACCAGCCGTCAAGTGGGTGAAAAGCGTGGGAGGCGAAGGGACTAGGCATAATCCATTTGTGGTGAGGCTTGTGCAAGGTCTTATAAATAAGCGGGTGGTGCAGGCCGCGGTGAATCCAGTAGATGCAGAGATCGGTGAACATGATGAATAGCGGGAATTGGATAATACTGTAGTAGGGGAATGGCTCGTCGGAGAAGGTATCATAAAGCTTGGCGTAACCACGGACTTCGGCGACCAGAAAAGGGGCAGTCAACAGGGACATAACCGGCATTGAGCGCATAGTCTGGGCGATCTCCATAGGAATTTGGTTCTTGAGGTATTTAGGGTGATGAACGGTGGTCTTGTCCCAGATGAAGATGTAGGATAGACTTGCGGAAATGAAGTAGACGATGATACCGAAGATCCTAATCCAGGCGCAAACAATGCGCCCACCCTGTTAGCCAAAGGAAAGATTGGAGGGGGCGACAACACCGGAGAAAAATGAACACAAGCGCACATACCAGACGATCAAGAAGAAACTGAGGAATTGACGGTAGATATTGTTCCTTGGCCAGGCGCTCAGATAGGCAAACTTGGAAGGCTCCAAGTAGATCAATTGAGTAGCCGGTTCGTAAACGAAGGGCTGGGTTGCACCAAAGAACGACAGGGTGCTGTTGGTGACAGTAGTGAAGCCGGGGAGCGAGGCGGATGAGGCAAGAGAGAGAGGAAGTAGAGAGGCGTATAGACGATCACCAATAAAGGTGTCCCAAATTTCGAGGGCGATATCCATGGTGCTGGGTTTTGGGCGTGTGAGAATACAATATTCGAGGGGGGTTGTTGCGGAACAAGGCGTTGAGC